CAACAAACTCTACTTGACATACTTCATGTGTCACATTTGTACAGCTGTATCATTTTACATTGGTGAATGTTTTGTTATTCAGACTAAGCAAAACAAGTCCAGTATGGCATATTCTGTCAGCAGAGTTTGGTCATCTTATTGTAAGTACAGAAAACAAAATGAAAATGACAGCAATGTATCATGATTTGATGAATACAAGATTGAGGTTTCTGGAATCACATCTAAAGGTAATATATCAATTTTGTCAGTACTTCATTCTCCTAATCTCGTACATGATTGAGCCTATACCTATTAGTGAGCTTCTTCAATTTCATGAATCAATTGATATTTAAAGGATTACCATAAAATCTGTACTAGAAGCTGCATTTTTAATAGAAGTTGCATCCATGCTTTTTGAACAATTGAGAACCAAAAAATCACAATTTCTCATTTGTGGAGATGTTCTAATAGAAACCGCATCCTCTCTGTTGCATTGTAACATTTTAATAGAAACCACAGCTTCTAATACAGATTTTACAGTATTATCATGAATTTCATTCCTCACATGCAATTTGTCTTTGCGATCGTAAATATTTGGTTAATGTTTTTGTTAGTACCCAGTACCATGGAAATCCGTTTGCTTAATAATTACCTTCTTGATCTATAACAAAAACAACATAGAATGTACTGGCAAGTCAACTTGTCAGTAAAAAACATCTGTACTTGTACTAAGGCTATTCACTGAAGATAAAAAAAGTTGATTTCAACATATATTTCATAGTACTATTCTTTCATTTCAGAACAAAATGTACCTTGTTGGAAGTGACATGACAATTGCTGACATTACAGTTTTCTGCCGTTTGCTTTTTTTTCCATTGGCTTCACTTCCTGTCAGATCAGAGGAATATCCCAATATTGCTTCATGGATGCTAAGGCTTAGACAGCGTGAAGCTTTTAGAGGGGAAGTAGAGAACTTTGAGAAGGAGATGAATAAATATATACAGTTTTAAAATCTTTAAATTGTAAATCCCTGAAAGGGGTTACTTAATTTTTATGTGTAAACTAGAATAGGTACTAGAATATTGTATATAATTAGTATGCATTGAAACACAGTGGTTTTAATGAAAATGTATCACCTTGAAATTACTTCTACCTATGTACAAAAGTTTCCCCAATTTTTTTATGAAAACATACCATGTACACGTCATGAAATTGGTGGTCGTACAGATGTAAAACAGCTAAAAATTTGACACAACAACTTTGATAACTAAACAGATGCCTACTTTCTAAAACATGCTTATAATATTACATACCCAGTTTGTGATCTCAGCCAACATCAAGATCTGTCAATTAGATAAGTGTCGCAAATTGATATGTTGTTTTCATTATACGGTATAAATATTATGTGCTTTCCCCTCTAATCTTGCTAGTATTTTTTCTTGTCAGATTCTATCAATGGGTAAGGTCATAATATTTTTGCTATATTTTTGAATTGTTATCAAACTAAGCCAAATATTCCACAGATCTTATACTTTTATATAGTTCACATCATATTTCTTAAGGGACCTTGAGATTAATATAGTACAAGTAGTATTAACTGACAAATTATGATGCATAATTACTTCAAAAACAGAGATTCATCTTTTGTGTCCACTTAGTTTCAATGATTGTGCCTAATCATGTTTAAACTTCAAATATACATCTGACAGCATGATTTTGTTATATCCATTGAACATTATGAGACCTATTTACCAGAATAAAATGGCAACCTGGTGGGCGTTATGTTGTTTGGTATGCACTCTACTATATCACCAGTTTTCATTGTAACACATTGTGGGACCTTGCCAAAGAACCTGGTGAAAGCAAAGGTGATACAGGCATGGGTCGTCATGTGTATCTTCACTGTTTTTCTCACCCTTAAGCATGTAATTCTTTAACTCTGATGATATTTCTTTGCTTAATATCATTTCTGGACATTTTCACGATGAGAGAGTTGGAGTGATGAAATGGGGCATTCTGATTGGTCGAAAAGTACAAGGTAGAATCAAGTCCACCTGTGTTCATGGAAAAAAATCAGTTGATAATCCTTGTGGCTTTTCATAGTAGCCCCTCTGGAGGTTGAGTGTGTGGGCATTAGTCATTGGCTAAAGTTATGCATGTGCATGAAGTTGTTAGCCTGATAAATGCTGTCTTTCGGAATAAGGTTATTGCAATAACAATTTACTTTGGAAACATTATTTGTTGTTTTTAGACAAATAAGGTATGACTTTGCTTTGCCTTTTCTTAATCTTCCGAACATACATATAACCTATATGCACGTCTGATACACGCCCAGTCTGATAGCCATTTCAATCTATGTACATACCGCTGTATTCTTCCTAGATCATAATAATATATACAACGTATTCTGACGTCAACTTCTACCCAGGCAGCTAACCAATGAACTTACACACTTACTAGACTTGTACCTGAAGACCAGTCTTAATGAAAAGTTCACTGGTTTGAGGTACTTCAATCTATATAGTAGATAACAATGAATGACAAGAAGCATGTTTCAACAGTTTTTTTTATTGATAGTTCATGTGACAGTGAATTGCTCATACGAGGAATTCATTTAAGTGCTGTACTTCTGTGCTCATCTACGTGTGCTTTGTTGGTGGTCAGGGTGGCCTAACAAACTGAAAAAGAACAGATGATAAATTGGGTAACTTATTTTATAAAAAAATAGGATATTATAAAAAAACGCTTCCAATGGACTCTCTTATCCGAGCTATTTCCCAATTTACCAAGAAATGATGGTGCTACAGTACATCAGATTTCCTACTGTTGACAAGTTTTATTGGTTTTTTAATAAATATTCACAGCCCAAAGGTTTTCAAAATTTGCAGAATCATGTAGGAGAGACAGTCACATTCGGTTATTAGGTAGAGTTTCTCCGATGGCGCCATGAATTCAATCATATTTGGTTTGCAAATGCACTGGGTGTCAATATTAAAATGATTAAAATTTGGTGAACAGTAGGAAAAAAGTTTAATCACACTGACCAACGATGGACACAGTCGAGACCAAGATGCATAATGGTTTGGTATTTCTATTTCCCACAATCTCAAATTAACATGAACATTCCACCATTGAAAAATGAAATTTCAGACAATGTCACAGAGTGACGAAGTCTTCTAAGTATTTTGGAATTCTGGTGGCTTTGTCACCTGACAAGTTTAATTGGACTACATGATGCCTTATTATCTCAACTATCAAGAGGAGTGAGGTATCACCTTGGTCAGTTGTGACATGTCGTACATTTTTACAGTCATAGACTGATGGAAGGGTTAATTCAAATGGTGCTTCTGGTAATTACTTCATGGATGTAGAAAAGAAGGTAGGCAGAGCTGGTCGTTGATTGAATTACTGACTCTGCTTATCGTTATCAGCCTGAATTGCTTTAAATAGGATATTACTGTCATTATATTGGCTTGACACTCGGAAACACTCAGTTTAGATTACTGTAAAACATGTCTTTTTAGCTAGCATGTCATTTTAGCTAATTTAGCTGATCCGCAATTTCGCCAAATTAAGGTGTCGCTAATTAGAATAAAGTATATTCTCACAGTCAGATTATTGGCACTTTGGCTAAATTAAGATTCAGTTAATTCATGCATTGAGTCAAATTCGCTAAAATGATATGTAGCTATTTCAAAATGTTTACAGTATGATTGTCGAACTTGAGAACCACAACACGTTTTTGATATCTGTTCAGCCTCCTTCAAAACTGATAATTATATGTATATACTGCGTGCATGTGAGATGTAGTTCTTATAGTGTAGGTACACCAACTAAACAACCTAATGTGTTTGGCACTTATATGTTATCGTGTTTTACCTCTAGGTTCTACGAATAATTGATGACACATTGTTGGTGTTGCATAGGTATATATATCCACTTATACTGTTGTCATGAATTTGTTTTCGCGTATCTGTTAGCCGATTATTAGCGAATGTCTGTCATTGTTTAGGCCTATTTGAAGTTTTGGACGGAACTTGGCTCAGTGATTTGGAACTAATTACCAGATAACCGCCGCTATTTAGACTACTCATTCTGACAGTTGGTATCCATAGTTATTAATGTAGTGAACGATTAATCAAAAGATATGACGTATTCAGTGCTTAGTGTGATTGGCTTTATGATTGAAGGTTACGCCCTAGAGTCTTTTTACTGCTTCGTAATTGGTTAGAGTTTTGAAAATGAATAAAGAGAGTTTGAGTTGGTCTTGGGGAGCACAGCACGATAGACGAGTCTGAGAGTCCAGTCCTGGAGAGCCTTGGGGCGAGCCTTGACGCAGTCTAAGAGTCTTGGGTCAGCCTTGCGATAGTCTTGGGGATTTTTTCCCAGGGCGCCGTGTCTTATAGAGTGCTCGATTGACCGACTAAGACGAGAGCTGAAACGTATTTCGTTGTGTGTGCCTTATTTGACTGTAAAGTATAAGTGACTTTCCCGATCCCGCACCTCAAGGGGACGAGATATAGAGACGAGACGAGACGAGATTCCCCCCTGACAAGTGTGGAGAACCCGAGAGTACAAGAATTTCCCCCTGATACTGTATTAAATTTAACGTTACCTTCCACCTCACAAATAAACGCTTTGTCTCTAATTTCTCCGCAGTATTCGTCATCCCACTGTGCAGTATCTTTCCTGTAGACATAATTTATAATGACGTATAAGTTACTGTTAATGACGTAAAGGGTGTAGTTATTTGAATGTTGGAGAGTGTCTGAACGATTATTAACTGGAGGATTCTTCAATTATAGAAATGTTAAAAAATATTCACTATTTTAGTGATGTTTTGTTGAAGTAATGTCTTGTCATTGTTGTCTAATAATCATGTGATAGTAAATTCTAATTGTATAATTTATGTTTGTTTTCACGTAAAATGATGTGCCTAAAAAACGCATCAGATTTGCATTGATTGGTTATAAGAGCAACCCATATTTTGTCGTTTAAACCAATTCAATTGGGGGTTGATTAATTTCAGAAATTACATAATAACATTATACTTCCAGTATCAAGTATCAATAGAATATATATTATGTATTTTTAACGTTAAAATCATTAATATTTATGATCAATGTAAATAATAATACATTATATCCTCATAGAATAATTATACCCATACACAATTGCGCCTTATATTTTGCCCTGCAAATGCTAAATATACTAGTAAACATTATTATGGTATCACTCCAACATGATTTCTAAATCAACTAACAACCAATTGGCCTGGCACAAAATCGTGAAAACGGAATGTTAGTTGAAATGTGGGCAAAATGTCGGCCACTGTTGCATAGCCATCGAATGAAATTGTTTTCCTGTGAGTGCAACAAAATTCTAATGGAAAAAGAAGGGCGGCTCTGCATAGTGCAAAAAAAAAACAGGATGTCAAATTTGGTGATATTAATAACTTTTTTGGCATGTTTGGAGAAAACACAAATTGCATTTTTTTTTTATTTTTCCTCCAGACACCTCATTTTCAAAAGATCCATCTTTTGCCGGATTAATGAATAACTTGTATGTACTTTATAATAAAGCTAATAAACTAATTAAATGATGAGACAAAAACTCGTTATATAACTTAAAGATCTCACCTTAGTTGTACACAATCTTGTCCACTGGGATCAAGATTATCGTTGTTGTTTGGCTCACCGGGACCCCAGTTTTCATATGGACAAACGAAACCAGATACCCACTCAAAGGTTCCTTCTACTCTTTGGTCATTGTAACCAATCCAAAATCCACTATCAATGTTTGCTCCGATATCTGATGCATTGATATGCGCCATAATCAAATCGTTCGTTGTCTGGTCGTATATTCTAACCAAGTCCCCGCCAATTGACTTGCAGTGGGTTTGTGCTTCACTCCAAGTAATTTCATCTTCGAAGAAGTGATATTCCACTGGTGTAGTGTGAGATATTATGCTGTGCTCTGTTGAAAGTCATTTAATACTGTCAATATATTTTTAATTGAAAATTTACATCATCCTCTCTTTGACACGTTAAAGTAGCAATAATAGGCTGAAAATATTCCATATAATATTTCCAAACCTCCAATAAAGTTATAAAAATGATTTTGGTGTGCACCTTTAAAGTTGGTTTGAAATGTTCGTATTAGATTGTGTATCAGTAAGTTGTTGTTTTTCAACCAAGAAATGATACAGGTTTTCCCATATGGGAACAATTCACTCCAAAATAGACAAAGCAAAAAAAACCCATAAAACTGGGTGTTCAATTCACGATGTCAAAGTCGTATAAGAATTTGTTTAGTTCAAGACACAAAACAAACGACGACATATTCCACAAGAGCAAAACAACCGAAAAGTATATTACACAACATACTAGTCAAATCAGCAAGGACATTGTGCTCACTTCATGTCATTGATGTCAAACATACAGTATTATTGTTTTAGTTCACTGAACCGTTAAAGTCAAACATAAATCACCATTACATTCAATGGGCATTGATAAGTTATTTGAACTGACTAAGAGACAATATTTTCAGTTGAACGATTTACTATTCTAATTACTTTGTGACACTATTATAACACACTGCAAGTCACAATTTGCACGACATGGAATACCGAATGAACCAAAATGACAGTAGGCCACAGTTTACATGTACAAGTCAACTTTTCAAAGACTGATTTAAAGTTACTATTATATTAAGTCAAACGGAATGAAACATGGGCAAGCAAATATTAATATATTTATCAAATAATTTGAAAGTGAAAGAGAATGGTATATAACATTGTTGAATATCCCCATCAGTGGTGCTCATCAAAGTATTACAGCTAGTGCAAATGCATTGAAAAGACCAGAGATACACACCAGCAACTATCTAGGCTGGGTAACAAACGGAAAACGCATTAATACAGTAATACAGTAATGTCAATGTGTGTACTCCGAGAACCAGAGTTTCTAAACATCCTAGAAAAGTCACACCTAGTTTTAACAAAATGTTTAGTCTGGATAAGAATACTATTAAGTACATTAGTCGCCATGATCTGGCCATCTGACGTGGAATGCCAAATTTGTAACATCGCAAAACTTCGATGAATATGCGTTACAGTTAGTTGACAGCTGTCACCAATCTGGTGTGCTACTCGCATGTACGTATGACATGGCAATTGCATTCAATTGTATATGTTAGTACGTCTTAACTTTCCCATGCAATAATACTTTAATCTCCACATTCCAACACCTATATTCGTGATTTTGGTGGAGTGAACTGTACTTTAGTTTTGCTTTGTCCTAAACAATAGTATTAGCTTATGTTTTTTCCTCGTTCTATAATTATATGTATTTAATGTGCTATCCGTGATATTAGTTGCGTGAAGTATTACTTCTGTTTTTGTTTTACAATCATAAAATTACTCTCTGTAGTGGATTTTCGTGTTGAATAAAATTATTATCATTATTATTATTATTTTAATACGTAATTTTCTAATGTATTGTTTAAGCCTGGACCATTTTCACACTTTTATGTGCGCCATGTCAAATGTCAACACGACTGTCTAGGACTCCTTATTTGGCATGTTATTAAGTTCTGACCAACCACGTTGACTGATGCTAGGCGTCGTAGTGACGTCACGATATCACGTGGTTTCACTTATAAATAGAGGGAGGACTTATTTAAACATGTTTCCAATCAATTTATGTATTTCGAGTGACATGGCGACTTAACAAGGTTCGGTCACGTGGTGTCATATGAACAAGTCAGAAATATGCGAAACTTTTTTCAACTGTTCATCTACAGGCTTCACCACTGCTGAGCATTTCTAGCATGCCAATTTGATGCATTCAAGATACAATGTTTATGACGAACTGAAAAAAAAAACAGTTGGTATGTATATATATATTCCTACATTACGCACAAGTCAAGATTCCCCTACAACTCTTCTGGCAATATGACATGCTGTGTAAAACACCGCTTTTGGACATTAAAAATTGATGGACAGAACTAGTGTGATGCACGACACTGAATCTTGTTAAACCATGGAAAAATAAGAGACAAAGTCTTTATTAAACAAAGACATTAGACGATTTTCTAATGTATTTGATTTATTAAAACAGTATAGTTCGATGGCAGGATTAGCTAGGATTTGCAGGTCAAAGTTGGCCGCATTTCACACTACACTGCACAAATGTACAATATCAAGTCATGCTACAAGTCATGTCTCCCCTAAAGACATACAGGTCTTCCCGGTCACGAGTATTCAGGTGACCAAAAACAAGCACACACCAGTTCCACGAAACAAAGATTCAATTGAGAAGAACAATGCAAATATGAATATGAAGTGACGCCAGGGGTATCATTCCGAGTGATTACCAAAAGGCTTCTATATTAAACATGAGCTTTACATCAGACAACTGACATTGATGCTAAGCTGAGATCATCTTTGTAACTGTGTAATTGTATTATGAGAATATCGTCACTAATATCGTCAATGTATATGAATATGAAAGAATTTGCATTCTTTTAGGGTTTTTTTTCCAGAAATTATTCTTCATACAAATAAAGATATAAATCATTCAGCAAAGGCACAATTTATTCCATGGGAAATGCTGATGCTTTGTTGGAAAAAATATATGTATTGTAGTACTCGGCAGATATATTGTCGGCAGAATACTGATAATGTAATCTCCAGTGTAAAAAGGTTTCTCATCAGTATTATTCTTAACGATGCAGGTAGAAACATTTGCATCTAGTATTTAAAAAATACTTGCTGGACAATGCGCAATTTAAATTTATCTTGCGGTAAACCTAAATGGTTGAATCAACATTTATATTTTGCACTTGTGTGCAAAAACGTAGCATATGGCCAGACGGGCAGCCATCGACATTTCAGCGAATGTATGTATAATCCCAACAAGCTAGCATGGCTAACAAGGCTGCAATGCACACACAAAATACTCATTCACACACAAGCAATGTGAAAGTATATTAGTTTGTCGAACCTACCTACATATGCACAGGTTGCCACGAAAAAAAGCGACAATAGAAATGCGACTATAGGGTACTTCATTTTGATGGTAGGTATATAGCAGTGCCGAAGGCTGGAAATAGTGATGCTCGCTCTTGTTACTTCATATATAGTGTCAAATGTACCCGGACACGCACGTTATCGTGATGATCTATTGTGAGCCCTAATTATGATTAAGTTATGGGTGTATACTATTATTTGATTAGATAACATTGCGTTATCTTGTTCGATCGGTGGGAGGCGATTCCATTACGAGTAAACAGCATGAGAAAAC